GGAACAAGGGGAGAAATGCCCCCCCCCCCCCCCCCCCCCCCCCCCCTCTTCCCCGAGGGAGCCACTCCTATAATGCCCATAACCGATCGATGCATATAACCTGCCCGCAACCGATCAATGTCCCCCTGGGGCGACGAAGAGCGCTCTTGACTGATTCGCAGTCAAAAACAATTAGAACGGCTCGTGAAAAAAAAATATGCAAAAAAGCACGGAGCAACCAAGGTCAAACAGCAGAGCCTCTAGCGGATGAAAACGCATGGCGTGAAGGAATCTCGAGTGGATCCAGATACGGAAAAAGGCGCAGGGAACGAATGATTCACCTTTTTTTTTTCTCTTTTTTTTTTTAATGTGATCATGCTGCGGGTTCCATGGGAGGCTTCCAATTAACGTCGCTATCAAGTTATTTTTTCTTCTTCTAACATGAAAAATTAATGCGACCATTACCTTCAGACCAGTACGGGAAATTGACTTCAGAACTGAAAAAAAAAAATTTTTTTACATATTTCTATGACCTTTTTGTTTTCAGACATCCCGTAGAGCTCTTATTGTTCCCGTCAAACGGAAAGGAATATAAATAAATAGAACAAAAATTTTGACCGAGAAAAGGTGGGCGGAAAGGAGCTAAACGACAAATACGGCCCACCCCACTTTCATGTTCTCAATGCGTCATTTTTCACCGGAATCGTGCGCCAAGGTGGGAGGCTGACATCATTTCCCCCTCCCCTCCCCCCTTCCCCCCCTTCCCCCCCCTCCCCTCCCCCCCTCGGCCAAGGGCAGGGCACAGGCCGCCTCTCATTTCCTTTTTGCTTCCTGCTCGTAGGAGGAACGGCCGACTTCCTCCTTCCACGACGGCGAGGGAAATGACTAAAAACGGAGGGAAATGACTGAAAACGGAGGGAAATGACTGAAAACGCTGACGCAAATGCCGAGAGAGGAAACCGCTTTTTTCCCTTCTTCCTTTCTCCCTGTTGTTTCCGAATGGAATTTGACTTTCGAAATATTGCGCGGAAAAATATTTTCCCTCTCTATTATTTATTTACATTATATGTATGGTTTACAATCATACATATAACGTAAATAAATAATACCTACTCCAAGCAAATATTAAATGAATAAATAAACGAAATGAATAAATAAACGAAATGAATCGCACTTCGGTCGCGGACAGCTGCATCTGCCTCGACTTGCAAGGATATTACGTAAAAAATTGCAATTTCTTCGGGGCTTGGAAGAACCAGAAGGGAGACGGTGATGAACGACGCGTCCGACGTTACTAATGACCTGAAACCGGCACGAAACCGCGGCGAACTGCTCAAGATGTGGGGGATGCATCAATTTCCTTCAGAAAAAAAAAATAACAAAATAATAAAATATATATATATATATATATTTAAGTGGCAGAGCTGACCAGTGCGTTTCAGTGGACCATAAAAGACTCGAGAAACCGTAAAACTCATGAAGGAACGGACTTTTAAAGAGCTCATGACCGATCGAGCCCTCTAAACTATGACCGCCTTCTACAGTGCACCATGACCGCCTTCTAAATTATTCACGGAAGCACCGTGCACGATCGCAAGCATCGATCGACCGCCCGAAATAAAAATTCCACGAGCACAGCCAGTCGCGATATCCGAAGGAGGAATTCGATTTTTCCATCCGGAATCCGTCATCCCTGCCAACGATGACGATGGCGAATGCCGACATTACTGCAAGCGCATGCCTTCGACAGCCGACGGGAAAAACTGGGTCTATCACGAGCGCGGGGGGGAGGGAGAAAAGCCATAGACTATTCATACGACACGATAGCATCCAGACAGGGGCGGAGTGAAGAGGAAATGAAAAGGTGATACCGCGGACCCATAATCGGCGGAGATCTAGAACACCCACCAGTATTCCCCGAGGGGAGGAAGGAGGATCAACCGCGTCGGGGGCATCCCATTGCACATCCCTTTGCACATTCCATTGCACATCCCTTTGCACGTCCCATCGTCGCGTCCTTTGCAGTGCGGCAGCTTGGATTCTGTTTGTCCCTAGTGGTATCTTCATCTCCGACTTTTTTTCCTTCCCGCCTCGCCTCGCCTCATGCATAGTACAGCGTTAACGATCGCGGAAAAAACGCGGGGTCAACGTCTTAGACTCGGTTATCACGCTGCAGGAGCCAGCCAAACTTCTGACCTTTGGACCCTTAGGGTCTAAAGGCCTATCGCTCAAATTAACGCTCTGGCTTCGTCCACTCAACTACATCTGGACCCTTGGAAGGGGATCAGACTCGGCGAAACTTTTTTCAAGCGCGATAGCATCTTCCCAATTAAAAGTTAAATCAGGAACTGCATCCAGAAAAAAATAATGAAAAAAAAATGAAATATATGGAAATTTTTCTTTGTCTTCTCCCCCCGTCATGCCAGAGGCCAACAACCGACGAAACCCAATCTAAGAATCGTGTTGCTGCATAATGCATTTCGCCACTGCGGCTCGCGGCGCACTGGACGGCTCACTGGACGGCACACCGGACGGCACACCGGACGGCACGCTGGACGGCACACCGGACGGCACGCTGGACTGTGCACAGCTGATACCAGCACGGTCAAAAATGATCATATCGACCAAAAGATGCCATTTGCCTAACGACTGAGGTTTGCGGCGTGGGTTAGTCCATATCTTCTTCATGATTCGCTGATATAAAAAAAAAAAGCCACAATGGGTTTCTAGACCTTCTTTCTCACTGACCTGGCACACTGGCATCACCGGCACAGCGCATTTCTCAACGGAATTCAGGTTCTTCTCTAATGATGGCCGCAGTCGAAGTTTCATTACTCTTCCAAGATGTCTCCATTTGCATATTTTTGGGGCCTATTTTTTCTTTTAGGTTAGTCTCGTCGATGGATGATGGTAAATTACGAAAGTAACTGCTGTTGGTAATTAAATAATAATAACCGGGAATTCAATTGGTAATTCAAGCACGCCAGGCAGTAGGTCGATTTCGTGGAAAGTCCACGTTTTCAGCGTTGAAAACGGGCTCACCGCTCTTACCACAGATTCCAAGAAAAAAAGAAAAACCGAGATCAAATTAAAAAATTAATTTAAAATGTTACGTGTAAAAATATATAAAGAGCGGGAAGGGGGTTAAAAAGGAAAAACAAAAAAATTAAATAAAATTTAAAAAGAGATATATTGGTTGGTTCCTGCAAAGGATTGTGAAGGGCACGGGCCGCAGAGAATCTCGGACGCGTGGGATGAGAATGAGCGAGAGGAGACCAAAGGGGGGGGGGGGGGGGGGTCATTTATCACCTTGTTCCCTGTGACGTGAATCGGGGCTGGGGGAATCTGCTCGTTTCTTCCCTTCATTGGGTTTATTGCAAGACCCTGCCTTTTTTAAGGGTTACTCGTGTAATCTTTTCGGATCTCTTCTTCCCGAGGGCTTTTCTCATGCAAAGCGGGGTTGGAACGGCGAACGGGGCTCGGCTCGGGCTCCCCGGTGGGCGTGATGAGGCGACGTTGCCGGGTTCCTCGGTACTTGTGTACCAGTAAAGTACCAGGAATGCGGAGTGTTTCCTAATCTCCGTTAGAGAGTTCCTCGTATCTCTCGTAATTGGGCCCTGTACTCCTCGCTCACGAAAGTCCTGTAATGAATGACCCCAAGCCTGGGAATGAGGACTGGCTTCCCCGAATCGTGACCTAAAGAGGCGGAAATGGAAACACCGACTTAATAGAATGAGCAAAGCAAGCGAGATGCCCTGCCTTGCCGGCGTAATCCGGCTTTGGCCGGACTCGAAGGAAAGCGTCCGAGTATCAAACACGATTCGTCGTGTAATATTTTAAATCTTAATTCGAGGGTGGGGAATAATGAGGACTGCTCTGGCAGAGACGAAGCACTTAATGAATAGTCTCGCAGATCCGGTGAAAAATATCCAGCCCGGACCCGGTCACAGAAGTGAGATTCTCCGAGTTTTATTTCACATACCGACGCGCCGCGGACGAACACGCGCGGAATGCGCAGAGGGATCAAGGTATCGCAGTGAGGGAGGTTTCCAGGGATCAAGGTATCTCAGGCATCCCGCGACGAAATCCTCCACGGTCTCGCAGTGGAAAAATTTCCGATCCGCCCTTCGGAGTCGTTTACCTCAACGGTTTTCAATCTCTTCAGGGAAATGTACAGATTTCCGGACCATGGCACGAATGGACTCAACAAATAAAATTCACGCTTGTTAATTCATGATTAACTTTAACCGATTAACTTCAATTAAATTAGTTGATTTATGATAATTTTCAACAGTCCATGGCTAATCTACTTGGCTACAGCTTATTTTCCTAATGAGTATTTATATATGTATATTTAAATTTCGCGCTTGTCTGCGGTAAAAAGCCTGAAGTACCAGTGCTGGTACACGTACCAGCGGTAGAAATTCACTTATCTGTCTCAACGTGAATGAGAACAAAGATGCTCCCGTGGGGTCCATTGTGTCCGGGCGGCGCCCCGCATCGACCCGCTTACCCAACGCATGAACGATGACACTTGCTGCCTGACCCTTTACCGGTCTGCCCTTTACCGGTCTGCCCTTTACCGGTCTGCTCCTTTCCGCAGGACGAAGAGAACGAGAGCAGCGAGAAGAAGTCGGCCAAAGATGCGCTGTTGCTGTGGTGCCAGAGGAGGACGGCCGGATATCCGCACGTCAACATCCAGGACTTCACCGGTACGCCCGCGCTTCCTTGTTTGCGTTTCCGCCGTGCGGGGCGTGCCTCCCGAGGGATCCTCGGACGCACCAAAATGGCCTCCATCCGTAATTGCACTGCATGGTTAATTCCCGTGGCGTGAAAATTAATTTTCACGGCAGATCCGCGTGCCCGCATCGTATCACAACATCTCGACTTCTGAAACTGCCTTTTGTAACGCGAGATACAGAGATTTTCCCTTCCTTCTGCTTCTCTGCACACAATGACCCAAACTCTTGTCTTGTCAGCTCTGATTCCTGAGTGAATTTGATACGGCATCTGTGCGGCTCCCCCCACCTCTTTTGTCTATAGGCTTACAACTGACGTAATAGTGATTGTATGCCGAGAAAGATTGGGTGCAGAGAAAGGTAAAAAACGAAGATATGTAAGGGGGGGGGGGGGGGGGGGAAGCGAGCCTTTGCTTTATCGTCGAATGCCGTGTGGAACATGAATTCTATTATCCATACACGAATGTCCTTTGTCTGACACTCCCAGTGACAAATGGATTTGGCAGCATTTCAAGTACCTCCTCGGAGGATTCTTTTTTAAAATTAACTCAACCGTGAAAACAATACATGTTATACTATATTTGCATAGGTAGCTCGTGCGAACTCGCCTGACGCCCATTCGAGCTCTATTTTGCTTGACAGTCGTGCGAGTCTTCAATCAAGTCTGAAGTCGAGTGGGTTCACGAGACAGATGAGGTTTTAATCACGATAATTTTTATCATGCGAAGGGGGTCGGTGCGAGATGGTGTAATGTAGCATTGTTTATTATCAATATTCAGTTGTTACCACGGACCATATGTTACACCTGTCATTTTTTTAATGGGCAATTAAGAATTTTCCATCTGCGCAGAAATGGCTTCAACTCTCGCTCCATCCCTCCCGGTCCGTTGATTCGAGATCTTCTTTGGATTGTTTCCCTCACCCATGCCGCGTTGATGGCAAAATTACACATAATTGGAGAATCAGCTTTATTTACAGCTTCTCAGCAATGCCAAATTTTCCGTCTTGGGAAGACTGGAAGATAAGCAGTCGAGGCAAAATGAAGGGAATACGTAGAGTTCAAGGGACTTCTTAATTTAAATTAATTTAAATAATGCTAATGATGTCCTCGAGGAAAATATTTACACGCTTAAATTTTTTTTAGAACTTTCGCGTGACTCTAAACTCATTTGAAACTCTGTCTATGAAAAGTCTCCTGGAGGAACGGAATGGGCTTCAACGCCCTGATCCACGCCCATCGGCCGGACCTGATCGACTACGCCCAGCTGCACCCGCAGCGCCACATCGACAACCTCAACTACGCGTTCGACGTGGCCCAGCACGAGCTCGGGATCCCCCGCCTGCTGGACGCCGAGGACGTGGACACGAGCAAGCCCGACGAGAAGTCCATCATGACTTACGTGGCGTCGTATTACCATACGTTTGCTCGCATGAAGAGCGAGATGAAGGGGGGGAGGCGGATTGCGAATGTGAGGGGCGGCGTTTAGCACTGTTGAAATTGCAGAGAAATGGCATATTTTAATATCAATGGTTTGGCTTGGAATAGATCGTGTCTCAATTGATGGACATCGACAAGATGAAGGAGCAGTATGAAGGATTCACTACTGATATTCTTGCGTGGATTCGCGCCAAAATCGCCGAGCTGGAGGATCGGAACTTCCCCAATTCCCTGGAGGGCATCCAGAAGGAACTCCTGCAGTTCAAGGAGTACCGAACGGTGGAAAAGCCTCCCAAGTGAGTGAGACACCTATGGAGGCCTCATTGTAATATTCATTTTATTTTATTTTATTTTATTTTTATTATTGCTATTTTTAATATTCAGAAGGAACTATTTATTTCCTCGGGTTTTTGATTTTAGAGTCACCTTTATCGAATTCTATTGTGCTTTAGGCTTAACAGGATCATTGACGCAATTTTTTATGTTGACACATAGCTAGGTCTGCTTGCTGGGATGATAAAAGCAGGGTGTAAACGATAACCGGGATCATAATCCAATGCAATCCTCTGACTCACAGTCATAAATTAAAGTCCTCGAGTACCGAGCAGATTGCCTTAGCATATGAGTAATGCTCAAGGCTGCATTACCAACAGGTACAAGGAGAAGAGCGAGATCGAGGCCCTATTTTTCGCCATCAACATGCGACTGTCCTCGCTGAGCCAGCCCAGCTATCAGCCGCCGGATGGGCAACTCATCCACGACATGGAAAGGTCGTGGGAGGAGCTGGAAAGGGCCGAACACAAACGGGAAGTCGCTCTCAGGGACGAGCTCCTTCGCCAGAAGAGGCTGGAGCAGCTCAATTACAAGTTTGAGCGAAAAGTGAGGGTCACCTTCCGTGAAGAGCATGCAAAAATGATGATGTAATTGATTGGGATCGTTTTCGTCTGCAGAGCGTCCTGAGAGAAGGGTACCTCAAGGAAATGATCCAAGTCCTGTCAGACCCTCGTTACGGAAGCAACCTGACGCAGGTGGAAGCCACCGTAAAGAAACACGAGGCCATCAGTGCGGATATCCTTGCAAGGGTGAGGAGACGATTGCAGTTGACGCTTCGGTTGACTTAGTTTTGATTTGACGATGGTGATTCGCTTTACTTTCGCAGAAAGAAAGATTTCACGATCTTTCGAACATGGCAAATGAGTTGGAGAAAGAGAACTACCATTCAAAAGATAAAGTGAAAAAACGGTATGATTCCTAACTTGCTGACGTGATCTCAACCCGAATGCGAAATCAGACACCGTCATGATATTTACCCATCAGGGAGAGAGAAATCCTGGAGAAATGGCGGCAATTGCTCCTGTTGCTGGAGAAGCACAAGGTTACACTGTCTGCATTCAGCAACCTGATGTCCCTCCTGCGCGAAGTCGACGCCATCACGAACACCATCCACGAGCTCGAGGCGAGTCTGCCCTTCTTTTTACGACTAAACGAGCCTTGGTATTTTTTTTTGCATTTGTCACGCCCCTAATCGCTGTACGGAACGGACTGCAGGACAACTTCAAGTCGGGAGACGTGGGCCAGCACCTGTCCGGGGTGGAGGACCTGCTGACGAAGCACAACATCCTCGAGTCCCAGGTGGCCTCCATGGGTGACACGATCGAGCGGATGAACAAGCAGGCCCAGCAGTTCGTGGGAGGAGGCTTCCAGGAGTCTCCCATCCTGCAGAAGAGACTCGAAAAGCTCAATCAAGCCTACGACCAGTGAGTTTCTCGGATGAGTCCATTTCAGACCGTGGCAATCTGCTCTCACGGGGGCTTCCGGTTATGCAGTTTGGCGAAGATGAGCCACGCCAGGAGGATCCTGCTGGAAGAAGCCAGGAACTACTTCCTCTTCGTGCAGAATCACGAAGAAGAGGAAGCATGGGTCGTCGAAAGACAGAGGATTTGCCAGGCCGGTCTTATAGCCAAAGACTTAAGGGCCGTCGTTTCTCTGCAACAGAAACACAAGGTATTGTTTTGCCTGATATCTGAGCCTGATCTCAAGAGCATTGTGCAACATTGGACTTGTTGTTGCTCCTTATAATTACTCAGATGTATTGTACTGTTGCAGAAATGGAAAGACTGAGGCTTTACTTACGCACTTTTTGCTTTTATATTCATTCTACTGTCCTAATATTTGGGAATTTCGCCCTTAAGTAATAATCAGGTACTGCGGTAGTACTGATATGTATAGAATTGCAGGATCGCCTACCTTTAATGTATGGATTGCAATAGTGCTTTTTAAAATTTTATTTTTATAAGTAGGATCGAAACACCAATAGTTTGAGTGTTTTCTTGTAGGGCATCAAAAGCATTCTGAGACTCTAAGGCTTTCTTTGGTGGAAATTCGACATATATGCGAGATATATGGGATGCATAAAAGAAAATCGAGGTTGCGACTTCTCAGATCCTTTTCAGTGGTTAACTTTAAGCAGTTATGCATCTTCCTTTCTGCAGTTTTTTTTTTTGCTGCTTGTGTGCAGGTTATCGGTTTTGGGTGACTTGCGCCAGATCCGTTTCACTGATCTCGCTTCATAATGGGCGTCTATGGGAATAAGTTTATCTCTGTTAAACTGATTCCCATAGGGGTCTATTGTGAGATCGGATTAGTTTAGCTTAAACGGATTCGGTGCCCATTATCATGTATTTCACATGAAAAGGTGCTTGACATTGACGGAACGCTCTGCCCCAAGTGTTCCAAAAGTTCCCCCCAAGTTTCATGTGTTCCAAAACTGCCTTAGTTTCGTCTTTTATTTTTAATTTGATCATCACTGTCTACATAATATCGAATCTGCCATGTCACACACGTGGCGAAAAACCTGCTGTCAAAGAAGATCCATTTCTCTTGAAAGTAATCCTCCTGTGGTCATTGCACTCCACCAACAAATAGAGGAAGTATCCAAAAGCTTGGAAACTTTTCAGTTAAACCAGTGGTCATTATTATTATTATTTTTGGAATCATTTAGAACCTTGATGATATTCACTTCTGAACCAATACAGCTGTTGTATAAATAAAGCGTACAATATTAAATGTCCCTGGAGATGTTTGATGGAGAGAACGTATGGGGGAAGATCTGTTGTTTACAAAATCGAATTCTTTCCTTTCGACCATTGATTTCAATCTGAATTATTCAGCATTTAGCACTTTTTTTCACAGCAGATTAGCTACATATGATTTCTTTCCAGGCAGCTATAATTTTTTATTATTAATCGGCGCTTGGAGCTATTCACGTGTAATTTCTTGCCTTTCTTTCTGAATTTGCTTGCGTGGAAAGGTCGGCTTCTACCAGGTAAAGTCACCTCTCTACGAACCATTTTAATTAAAATCTTCCGGGCATGCCCTCATCATGCCGAAGGGAACCGAGTTAGAAGAGATTCACCCCCTTCCAGGCCCTCGAGGACGAGATCAGAGCCAGGACCCCCCACATGCAGAAGGTGATCGACGAAGGGGAGAGCCTCCTCGAGCAGCGTCATCCCCAGAAGGATGACATCAAGGCGAGGATCGAAAGCCTTCGGGATCGCCTCAACACCCTCAAGGACTTCACCGACCGACGGAAGAAGCAGCTGGAGGAGGCCATCGAGGCCTACCAGTTTTACGGGGACGCCAACGAGGTGGACTCCTGGCTGAAGGAGAAGATGCCGCTGGTCGAGAGCAAGGACTACGGAGAGGACGAGCCTGGAGCTCAGTCCCTCATGGCTCGACATAAAGCGCTGCAAGAAGAGATCAAGGCTTACGCTGGGGATCTGCAAGCCCTCAGTGCTCAAGGCGAGAAGCTCATCAAATCTGGCATCTCCCAGCTGGATGTGAGTCCGGTTCTCCTTCTGTTCTCCGTTTGGATTATTACTACTTCCTCACACTCGCATTTGCCCACTTCGCATTTTCGTCGCATTTCAACACTTCCTCAAGGAGTGCGGCAACGCAGTCGTTGATTTTCCAGTCGTTCTCAGATCACCACTCCCTAATCTCGCCGACTCGCGTGGTTTCGAACTGTCGCCGTCGAGATTCGTAAATGCGTTTTACCCGACAAGCCATCGAGAAGACTTCAGGAAATGGTTTCTTTTTCATTATTTTCCCTTCGTTGACTTTTTCTCAATTCTAGGCTTAAATGATGACCCTATTTTGTTTCTCCCCTGAAGGCATCCTTAAGAATATCAAATCCCAAAACTGCCAGTCGACTTCTTTTTTTTTCAATTTTTAATTCCTTTTAAAAAGCCTATTTCGGCTAATTGGTTGTTTCTTTTCCGTTCTCTTTTAACCTGCAGATTTTATACAGGCTCTTTTTTCTCGAATTTGACGGATTTCTGCACAGTCGATATTTTCTGATGTACTTGTGACATCTATGAGGAAGAATAGCACCCCAGTTTCCGATTTTACTCAAAAGACAGTACGCAACGGACATTTCTCATGAAGCCACGAAGTGAAATAGCTCCAGATGCTAGGTCAGCATTCGATTTCAAGAGAAGTTCTTGATGCTGTAGCATCTTCCTCCGGTTTTTTTTTCTCACTGGGGTCTCACCGTGTAAATGCTGAGTTTCTTGTGGGGAAACGAGAATGATCCTGTGTGGGGCTTCGCATTTCCCCACTTACTGTTTGGGGGCTGGTGATGAACTGAGCAGGTGAAAAAATGCGAAAGGGCCCCTCTGGATCCCATTGCGAACGAGGCAGTACCTGTACTTTGTTATTTCTTTCGCATTTCGGCAGATGTATCTGCTGTCTTTATCGTACAACATCTACTCTTCGATTTAGAAATCACGTCTTCCAGTGTTGCCGCTCTCCGTCGCAGTGGGGAAGTGCTAATGCCTCAGGTCAAGTGGCAAAATGCGAATGTGGGCAAAAGCGAAGCACCCCTCCGTTTGTCCTCGGCTTCACAGTCATTCGTGCAATTCCGTTCCTTCAGCTGTCACCATCCACCGGTCAAGGGACGTTAGAAAACGGTCCCGTCGAAGAATGGGTCACAGAGACTCGTCTGGTGCCACAAGAAGTGCTGGAAGAAGAACCCGTGGAGAAGACGGAGTATCGCACCGTGATCGAGGAGAGGCGCTTGCCGCAAGTGAAGGCCCTCTACCCCTTCTCCGGGCAAGGCATCTCCATGGCCAAGGGAGAGGTAAGGCTCTCGCTTTGCTCAAGGGGCAGTAGTTCAGGATGAGGACTTCGAAAGGGAGAAAATGGGTGAATGATTTATGAAGTACTTCTAACTTGAAACCGGGCAGAGGTAGGGTTGCATTATGCTCTTTGCGTTCGGCGACTTTTTAAAATTACCTGTCGAAACCAAAAAGAAAGAAATTTATTTATTTATTCGTATACCCCTAGGAATGCCTGAAGCCCGTCGTTCGTGATATGGTATCGTTAGGACACTCCTTGAGTAAGCTCCGTCGCACTATAGTCGCAATTCCCGTGTTTATGTAGCGACTTCCATTTTCCTGTCCAATGGAATGACAATCTTCAAGTAAATACGCTCCGAACATTAGACAGCTCTGTTCTTGTGGCTCCTCACAGGGCTATTGCCCTGGTCTCAGGCTGAACAGGCCGCATTAATCCGGTTTATTTATTATTTATTTATTTGCATTACCTGCTGTATTATATTATACCAAGGTCCTCGTCCGCGTTCTCACCTGGTACCTCGCAAGAAACGACCCTACTTGGAGAGGGAGAATCATGCGTCACCAGAATCCCTTGTATTCCATGAGCGTAATCCCATAGGAAGCCCGCTTTGTCGATTAGGGATTCCCTAAAAGTGACTGATCAACGGCTGGATCATTTTTCCGCCGGGATTCAGCGTCCCGAAACCCTGAATGCTTCCTCGATCTTTTTCGGATCCATTGTGTTCGTCTGTCCTTACCTCGATAATTCTTTAGGCTCCATTGAACACGCCTCCATCATCCTAATTTAAGTCATTGTCTAGCCCTTATCTCTAAGAGAAGGAGACCATTGTGCGTTAAGGGGGCCGCCTTGTTTTATGGCGTTCTTTTGCATCCTTGAAACCTTTTCTACCTGCGAAGAGAATACGGGCTCGCATTAGGAAGAGTGGGGCAGCTGCCCCACCTGCCTTTGGGAGTGGGTGGGGGTGGTTCATTGGGAATATTTAAAAAATGAGCTGACCGGTTTGACGTACTTGCGTACTTCATGGCCACCTTGTGGATCTGGAACGGGGAAGCAGAATTAGATTGATGACAGAGCCCCAAATCTCATTCATGATCGAGCGACGGTGTAGGTGATGAATCTCGCAGCGGGAACCCCGTCGTAACGGGCATTCTGGATCCCGAAAAGGAGACCCTGCTCACGTCACTGCATTTGATCTGAGCAGTCGGTGTCGTTTGGGGTCGGGGTTGCCTCGGTAGGGATCTGTGTGCGGATCAATCCATTTTCGCCAAATCCGTTTTTGCCAAATCCGTATAAACATTGCCAATCCGGCCTGAGCCAACATCAGGTGGCTCCGAGAGATGAGAACGTGCTCGAGCGAGCGCCGATCTTGCTACTGAGAAGCTGATAGAGGAAATGCTAATACCCCTCTAGGTGTCTGTGAGGAACTTAGGGAATGCAAAGGCCTCGAGCCTCAGAGAGATTAATTTATTGTGGCCCCGCGAGATAAAAGAGAATAAGCCTGTTCTTGCCGCATGGCCTCCCAAAGTTCTCGAGGGGCTTTTCTGAGAAGTTCTGTGACAAGAGCCACTCATTCTGCATCGCCAGAATGTTTTCCACTCTGTACCAGAGTAATTCCGCCATCTCCCCGAAAAGGCTTTTTTTTTGGCAAGTTCATCTTTTCCTGTTATGGTGAATGAAATGGCATCAAAATAGAAGAACATCAGCCGACTAATGGAATGGCATCAACAGTCGAATACGACATAGAGAAATAGGACTTACCTCCCTCCAGTGCCGATCGATGCGAGAGAGTGACAGGAAATGAGGAGTATCTCGTCCCTTGGGCATCTCTTGGGTGGTCTGTCACGGTCTTTCCTCACTCTGGAGGCATTATGTAGGGTTCGTCGCATCTCCTGAGTCCTCCGTCCTTTAGTCCTCCGTCCTTTAGTCCTCCGTCCTTTAGTCCTCCGTCCTTTAGTCCTCCGTCCTTTAGTCCTCCGTCCTTTAGTCCTCCTTTGCTGCGTGGGACTTCCGTTTCCTGAGGGCTGTTTTCTGGGATGCGTCGTGATATTTCGTACCGGGAATGATTTCCGCGATGGTTTCAATTGCAGGCGACGGAAGGGACTGAGATTTGGTCTGCTAGACTCACTTAAGCTAAGCGCAGTCCATGCATCATTTCACTGCGCTTCCTGCACGGAAGTGATCATGGTCATGGTCGGTGATCGGAGTCGCTGTAAAAGTGGTTGAAACCCCTTTAAAAAAAAAAACGCAGAAAATTCTTGAAAGTTACTTTTTTTTTAAGTGGGGGAAACTCCTCGCGTTTGTGCACACCGATCATCATCACTGCAAATTTGTCATTTAGAGCTCTTTAGGGCTTGTCTTCCAGTGAATGGCATATTTAGCGTTTCTCCTATCAAAATTGTTGAGAGGTCTTTCTAAAAGAGAAGTTACGATTAATGTAGGCTGAGAAAGTGAGCAAAAAGCGAGAACCTGCTGGAGCTTAGGTAAGTTTGACCGAGTTATGCTGTCGATTCAACTTATCCGGTGGCAGGATCTCTGCACTCGCGGGACTTTCATTTTTCACTGGAACTAGGAGTCTTATCAATTAAGCATATCCGATTTCTGAGGAAAAATTCGATCTCAAACTGGAATGGATTTGGAAAACGAGAGGAATTTGAAGTAAGGCAGTCTCCAGGGAGTTTTTCCCAGGAGATGATCGGAAGGTTCTATCGCAGTGTTCATCCCAGGGGCGGGCGAACATTTTCCTAGAATATCGAGAGAGCGCCTTGTTCCTTTGAAGGGAGTTGATGCGACCGACCACCAGGTGGCAGTTTGATCGAGCAGAGTTGAAAGGGTCCAACTCGAATTTGTCCCAAATTTTTTGTCATGGCTGTGGTCACGGTGCTACGCGCGTGCCCTTCGTGGAACTCGGAGTGGTGCTGGAGATTAAAAGAAACTTAAATGACTCAGAGGATTCAATTTGATTTCGAGAAAGGTTGACTGGGATTAGGTGGAGTTAATCCCGAATAGTTGAAATTCGCATGAGGATCATAGGCCGCGCAAGGATTTCACTCGGCGAGGGACACGCATGGGTGAATAATCTAAAGTTAAAAATTGGAATTAGTGCGATTGCGAGGGGAGTCGAGGTACCCCTCAGACCTTGTTAACGTGTGCCCCCATTACGACGGTGTCGGTTGCGTGCAGGATCGGATGACACGGGGGATGATCCGTGCCCTGTTGATCATAGCGTGCCATCCTGAGATGCTCTATCACTCGGGGGACGCGGGGGAGGCTGAGGACGTTCGAGTCCTCATGGCAGTGAATCGTACATTCGAATACATATGTTTCAGGGGTGATGGATGAGTTGCGTGGCTTTGAAACTCCCCCATGGGGATTGCGGATTCGTGGGGGATTCATGTCGAAATTGATTCTTTTTCTGCTTCACAAAGAGAAATTTACCGCTTGAGAGGCTCATCGAGATATGCAATACTCGGTTGTAAAATTATTCGAGCCGTTTACTCATCCATATAGAAAAGGTTGGACGTGGGGTGTGTTTGTTGCCTTGAGGCCTCCAAGAATATCTTTAACGAGGATTCGAAGTCTCTTCATTTCGTTTTGTTGAACTTCACCCGTGGGTATCCAGTCAGTCCCTTATGCAGTAGAATACGACGGTTCAAAACAGCTTCTAACGAGTATTTACCCAATCGGGTCTCAGATGTTTTGATGATTACCGAGGCTTTCCGTCGCCATTAGCATTTCCGCGATCGCAAGGTTTTTTTTTCCTCTCTGAAGAATAAAAAGGAAGGGGGGGGGGGGTGAAATTCGTGAATCCACGAGCGTGCGTCATTCTCTTGACAATTGTCGTACTGGACCAAGAACGGTTAGTACGATTGTGGGCATTAGTTGCCCGCCGTTGTCCTTTCAAGTCCGGGTAGAAGTTACGTGCCAGGAGACTGTTATTAACCTAGGCTGACCGCGATGACGAGAGGATGGAACGACGATCTTCCGATCGTCGCTGGATGACCTCCCGCCCTCCATCCGTCTATCATCTGCTTCTCTAGTGTTAGTCTCTGAGGATAGCGAGGGGAGGTCTCATCCTTCTCTCTCTGGTCCCGCCTCATTGCCCTGATAATCTTCCTGCTCGTATTGGGGAATGATAGTGATATCAATTGACTGAATATCATAAAAAAGGGAGTTGTAGCACAACTCTCAGAAGGCATTGACTTCGCGAGCCATATTGTAAACAATTTACGGCATGGGAACCATATTTTTTATATGGCTCCGTAAATTGCTTACCTCAGTGGGGCGTTTGGTATGCCAATGCATACCATACGAATGACTTGCCAATCATCTTCGTGAGTTTAAGCGAAATCGGCCCTTGGACTTGTGCAGAGCCATGCTTTATGGACAACGTCTTTGATTGGTTTGGTGTGTGTGACACACATCTTGAAAATATTTATTTTATTGAGTTGGGAACTACTGAACGTGAAAACTCCCCTTGATGGAAGAAAAGCGTCATATTTCTGCTAAGAAAACATTGGAGCAATTTAATTTTGAAAAGTACATGGTTGTGACCTTGTATTGTCGCCATGGATCATCATGATGACGACTGGGGAAGACCCAAGGTGAAAATGCACCAAATCGTTCCGACACAGCACAGATATTTAACATTGAAGATTCAAAAGAGAAACACCTACGATGTTTCTCCTATGCTTTTTTTTTTCTATGATTGCCTAATGATGCGAAAAACTAGCAATTTAGAATTTTGTTTGAACAAAAATATACATGGATTTTCGACAAGTGGGATTCAATAGGGCTTCGCAATCCCTTGTCGATTTGGGCTAAAATAAGTCGATGAGACGTTGATTTCTGCTGGAGTTTATTATTATTTTTTATTTACCACCAATGGCGCTTCACTTCTTAACTTCTCGAGGAGAGGGAGCTTCCCATTATCACAATCAAAGATAAATAATTCTCTGGACTGGAAAGTTCATTATCCGAGAGCATGAGCTCTTCGAAAAGCATTTCCTTAGTTTGAAAAATCGCTCTTCTGGCTCACGGAGCCCTGGACAAAATCGCTTCATAGAGAAACCGGTAGAGTAGAGTTGGAGTTCTTGCGGTTGCGGCGAAAGAGCTTCGTGAAAGCTGTTCGGAAGTCCCGTCGAAAGATGCAGTAGATGAAGGGGTTCGTGGCGGAGGAGGCGAACTGGATCAAAGTGGCAGCCACGTTGATCCACCTGTGGGTCACCTTCGGGTCCATCGTGACGATCTTCACCAGCTTCGTGACGCAGAACGGGGTCATGCACACGGTGAAGATCGACACCAGGGTGATGACGGTGTAGATCACTCTGAGGTTGGTGTTCCGGATCGACTGGGCATCGACCACGGATTTCCTCAGGAAAACGTCTCCTTCTTTCTCTGTGAAATGCACGGTGAAAGAAGGGGAAGCCAGGCATGAGTTTGATTAAAATGCTCCAGATTGCAATTTACACAATGACAGATCGTAACTGAAACTCAGTCATTCATATTAATTTTCTGTATTGCGGCGGTTCACTTTCACTTCTTCGCGTGGTTGATGATTAATGGTACTTCCGATGGTTCTGCTCAGACTGAAGCCTTCCTCGGACAAATAATCTTTTTCGTTCTGAGACTTGAGGGTTATTTCATTTGGAGTTGCTGTTTGCTCAAGCATGAATTCCTCGTATCTAACAGCGTCTGACGTTCGGTCTTGATCACATGATCTTAATCTTTACATAGTTGTCCGCGTTTATGTCGCCTGTAAGGATTTGCTGAACTGATTCGGCCACATTCGAAGTGAAGTATTTGATAGATGCAATCTACGAATCGGTCTCACCGCTTCCTTATTCTTGTAAGACCCATCCGCGTGCAGGATGGAAAGTCACACTCACCGAAAGACTGGGAGCCATTAGAGAGCTGAGGTTTCTGTTGCGCGTCCCTGGCAACTTCGGGATCGTCGATCGTCTTCATCTCCATGCCGCAGCTCCCATCGCTGAAGGACGAATCCAGTTGGGAATTAGTTGCTGCGTCTCTGGGGTTTAAGGGGCTACAACAGAGACGAATGGCGGCCCATGCGATCACGGCATTCGAGACCCAGACCAAGGCCATGGGGATGCAGAAGCAGAGCGTAAACCCCGTTATGCAATAAATGAAGGCGGATTTGAAGGTCAACCAGTCGATGGCGCAGGCCACTTCCCAGTAGTCGTAATGGATCCAACCGCTGGATACGGGATAGCCACCAAAGCACAGGCCGGTTCCCCAGGTTCCGACCACGATCCATTTCATGCGTCGCATCGTCACTCGGGAAGGGTACTTGAACGGGTTCACGATTGCGAGGACCCTGTCTAAAGATATGGCTGCGAGGGACATCATGGACACGACCATGAAACAATAATTGAAGAGACAGTGAGCGGAGCAGAGCCAGGAGGGTAGAGGCCAGTCGTCGTACAGCGAGGCTGCGCCCGACGGCAACATGACCACTATCGCCGAGGCCAGGTCCGTTGCAGCCAGGTTGAGCAACAGCAGGTTCGAAGGGTTGTTTCGGAGGCTTCGTTCGCTCCGAATTGTGAGCAGGACGAAGAAGTTGCTTCCGGCTGCGATGATGCTGATACCAAAGATGCACAACCCGGTGAGGACGTTGAACTGGGCCCCCCTCCTCGCCATGGGAGGAGCGGTCAGCATGGGTGCCAAGTGCGACAGCAGCTTCTTCGCTTGCGTCTTTCACTGCATCCCGAGAGCATGACCCATCTGCTTTATAAAGGTCGTCGTTCCAATCATGCGCCCCGGCCATACGAGGTCCCGGTCTGGAATATGCGCGAGTTATCCTCTCCTCCCCTATGCTGGCTCTTACTCGAATTCTTTTTCCGCGAAACGTGATGATGAATATTTTTCGAAGAGGGGACTCTGCGAATGCATTCATCGTGATTTGAACGAATGACTTTTTCAACCGTGAAGGATTTCGCGACGAGACACTTGGGGTCGATTTTTGAATAGAGAACTATCCGATCATGCTGCTTTATTTACCGGATTTATAATGCATTTTCTCTGAAATAAAGCAGCATTATCGGATAATGCTCTGTTCAAAAATCCACCCTAAAATAGTGAATAAATGACTGGGATTTCGGGTAGGGCGGTCTTCCTCGATTTCATTCGACATCTGTTAAACGAGAGAGACGATTCGTATTCATTAACGTTCTTGTCTTCAGAGGGAATGAATTTTTTTTCTGCAGGTGTTGTTCCTAGTGAATAGGGCGAATGAAGACTGGTGGAACGTGAGGAAAACAGACGGAAGGGACGGATTCGTCCCGGCCAACTACGTGAAGGAGACTGAACCGAAGGTGGTGCAGGTGAAGGTGAGGAAACCGGAGGTGGTGCGCGAGATGAAAGCGGTGAAGAAGACCAAGATGGTGAAACAGAACGTCCGCGTGAAAAAAGTGACTCCCCCGAAACCACCAGGTCAGCCTCGACTACTGTTTGAGAACCGATGACTCTTGGACTTTTTTTTTCTGATTTCATTCTCAATTGCGCAGCTCGAGGAATCAAGCCACACCAGCCAAATGAGAGCGTGGAGAAGCGACTGAAGATACTCAATGCTTCCTATAATCAGATTTGCAAGCTGGCTCAGGTGTGCTTCACAATATAGACGTCAGGATTATAATTTTCTTTCATTTTTGTTTCAACTCTTTTTTTCTTTCTTTCAGGACCGTCACACGCTTTTGGAAGATGCCATGCTCCTATTTGGTTTCTATCACGAATGTGACGACTTCGAAAAGTGGATGAAGGATCAGGAGAAGACCCTCCAAAGCGACAAGGACAGCCAAGACGTGGATTCTAAGAAGCGAAAATTCGAGGTAAATTCTCCTCTCATTCGCCAGGTGGTGTGGTAAATGTTGATGTGTGGTAAATGCCCTTCAATATGACCTTCAGAAATTCGTGACCGACTTGGTGGCGGCAACTCGTCGCCTGGAAGACTTGGACAAGGAAGTGGACGAATTCGCAAAAAGAGGCCATAGTCAGCTGGATAAAATCAAGGCGCGGCACAGGCAGATTCACGCTCTTTGGGATCGACTCAATCGACTTCGACAGCAAACCGAGAAGAACCTTGCCGGAGCTTCAAGGTCTGTTCTTGACGTCATCAAGGAAAACCTTGAATTCAAGTCGTACTTATTTTATCGAATATGATTGACTGGATTACATTTCATAGAACAGATTTGACTGGATTACATTTCATAGAACAGATTTGACTCACTTATATAACTTATCACAGTGTGGAGCTTTTCAATCGGACATGCGATGAGGCCAGAGACTGGATGGAAGAGAAGATGAATAAGATGGATATGGAAGATCTTGGCAAAGATCTCAAGACGGTTCAGGCCTTGCAACGGAAGCACGAAGGCCTCGAGAGGGAGCTCGCTCCCCTCGAAGAGAAGGTCAATCGCGTGAATCTCTTGGCCAACTCGTGAGTTGTTTTTTTTTTTTTTCCATTTCTAGCAAAAAAAATTTTTTTGCTGCCGGCCGTCAAGGGATTCGAATGAAGGGAAGAAATTCTTTTGACAGGGTGATGTCATCGTATCCGAACGAGAAGGCCAACATTGCTGCGAGGCAAAAAGAGCTGCATAACCTCTGGCAGAAAGTCAAGGTACAGTTGAATAATTTAATGTGACACGATAGGTTTTGGCTGTCATATGAATTTAAAAAGTCTCATGTATATTCTATAGGGCAAGGCAGCAGACAGGAGGAACAGGTTAGAAGAGGCTGTCGGCCAAGCAATCTTCCTCAACAGTGCCAAAAGCTTGGTGAGTTTGAGAGATATGGCAAATATATGTGTTTCATGTCTGGCTACATATGTATGACCTGTTTGTGTTTTCCGATTCAGCTCAATTGGGTGGGAACTGTGAAAGAAGCCTTAAATGCAGACGACCCAGTTCGAGATGTTGCAACTGCCGAAGAATTGCTCAAGAAGCACGGGGAACTGGGTGACGATATCCGAGCACACGACGACGAGTCAGTCTTTGCCCGGCTCTGTATTCCTTGCCGTCTGCATCGTTTCGCATTCGATCTAATGTCTCTTCCTTCTGATGCACTAGATTTCAAGAAGTGAAGGACCTCGGCCAAAAGTTGCTTAAGAGGAACCCACAGACTCGAGATGCCATATACGACCATCTAATCCAACTTCAGGTCCTAATCCAACTCTTTGACGCCCTAAGCCGTATCCTCGGCGCAAGACAGTTAGAATTACCAAATTTTAATACCCGACAGGAGGAAGAACGAGCCATCAAACGAGGCTGGCAGGAGAAAGACGACTGGCTGCGGCAGTGTCGGGACCTCCAGATCTTCGAGAGGGAGGCCGAGCACATCGATTCCACCACCTCGGCTCATGAGACTTTCTTGGAATATGAAGATCTTGGAGTATGGGCACTTCCTTCACTTCCCGCTTTCTGTTACTGGCTAACATCCAGGATCATTAAATGCTCATTTCTCTAATCTAGGACACCGTGGATGAAGTGGAAGCTCTCCTCAAGCGCCATGAGGATTTTGAGAACAAGCTCATAGTACAGGATGATCGAGCAAATGCATTCAGTGAGATGGCCGATAGATTGATAGACGCAAAACACTACGAAGCCAAGGAGTGAGTCGGCTCAGCACAATCTGATTCACTTTCCAGCACCACGAAGCCAGTGAAGGAGACAAATAACATCGCTATTGCTTTCTTTAGCATCGACAAGCAGAGGAAGCAGATCCTGGCAAGGCGAGAGGCAGTCAAAGAGAAGGCAGCCGAACGGAGAGGACTCCTCCACTCGTCCCAGGCCTATCAGCAGTTTCAGGCCGACGCCGACGACATGTTCACTTGGATGACTGAGAAACGAAAGATGGCCTCCGACGAATCGTATCGCGACCTGAGCAACCTCGAGAGGAAGCTCCAGAAGCACGAGGCCTTTGAACGGGAATTGCGTGCCAATGAGGGACGATTGCGCAATCTCAACAAGGCTAGTCCTATCTTCTTCTGGAGTAGGTGCCTTGCTTTGTTCCATATGCAGTGAAGTTATTGGTTTTTTCCTATGAACATAATAGGCAGGGCAGTCCTTCATCACTCACGGTCACTACCGAAAGAATGATATTCAGGACACGCTTGATACCCTCAACAAGGGTTGGGGAGAATTGACCGGTCTCACCAAGGACAAGGGAAAGAAGCTGAGACAAGCTTCAGCGCAGCATGGATACAACAGGTCAGGCATTGCTTTATGAGTGCAGAATATCATAGGAGAGTCTCTAAAAGTCATCGAGCTGTAATCTTTTCACAGGACCTTGGAGGATGCAAAGAAGAAGGTGGAAGAATTTGAATTCAGTCTCCAGTCAACCGACTATGGTAGTGACCTTAGGAGTGTGAAGCATCAGTTGCATAACCATCAGGTTAGTGTTAAGAATTTAGTGCCATAAGTTTTCATGCAAAGTTAAGTGAGGGTGTGCAATAAGCAAATGTTTTCGTTATCTCAGATGTTGGAGAACGACATGGCCCAGTGGGAGGCCAAGATCAACGACCTCGTGACTCTGGGAGACGAGATGGCCAAGGAGGGTCACTTCGACTCTGCCAACATCCTTCAAGCCGGCAAGGCCTTCAAAGAAAAGTGAGTGTCACAGGAGTCATTGTTTCCCCTTTTCGCCTCCGACTTGCAGGCAATGTTCCCTTGCTTGAGGAAAATTTCACAATATCGAAAGCTTCAACAGTGATTTCCAAGTATATGCAAGTGCCCAGAATGCTCTTTCCTCATGCTCTCATGCTTTCCCCATGCTCTCATGTGACATCCTACAATAAACTAGATATCCAAATGTTAGTAATCTGTTGCTCCTGTTAATTTGGACAAGAGGAGTGGTCCCAGCAAAAATCCCTTAGAACATATGTAAAAACTCTTGGTTTAATCCGACTGGCTTCCTTTTGTAGCTCTCGTTTCATTGGGAGGAGATGGGCTATTAATAGCCAGGTAATTTTTTTATTGAATCAAAGATATGGAATATGAATAACGCCTCCCTGCTCCCTTCTGTTTCCCTTTAGCAGTTCCACTTCTCCCGATCCCAGGAATTGAAAAGAAACAGGAAATTAAAAACTTATCACCCTCGACTCTTCCCCCCGCCCCCACCCCACCCTAACCCTTTGGATCGAATAAATGGGGCTGCTCTGGTAAAAAAAAAAAAAAAAAAAAAAAAAAAACTTACCCCCCCCCCCCCCCCCCCCCCATGCTTCACTCCAAGGGAACGCATTTCCAAAAGCCAAACAAATTTCTGGGAAGGAGATGGCTCCCGCCTTTCACTCGCGTTTTGCCTCAGTCTGCGTCCTGTATTTTTGATCGATAGATGCAGCCGTGTGGTCATGCTGTCTTAAATCTCTCAACTTATTTTTAAAATAAAATTTATTTTTAAAATCACTTTCCTTCTTTTATAATAATAAAATAAGGAAAGATTAATTTGAGAAAAATCAACGCTTAAAATTTTTATTGGATTTAGATAGTGCGGAGCTGTCACTCGGATCATGTTTCATCCCGCTCGAGAGATGCGATTTAATCCTCGCAAATGGGATTTCAAGAATGATCATTATAGTGATAAATCGCAGCCTCTCGCTTTAGAGACTTTTTAAAGACTCTCGGAGTCCTGGAAGTTCCTCTCGCCTGGCCAGGGCGTCCCGAAGTTGCTCTGAATATTTCTAAAAGCCGAAAATAATTCTTCTCGTGTTCTCGGCCACGATAACGAAATCGGATGATCCCCGGATTATCGCCTCCCAAGCCATTCGTAGTAATGTGGGCTCCACACTGAGGAAGGGAAGGAGATCATGCGTCTTTTACGGACCCCGACCGGCTTTTCTTTTCTCATTCTCTCCGATTTTGTGCGTTCCATTCTTGTCTCCATTTATTTTTTTTTTGTACGAACTTTACTTTTTGCATGCTTTTAGAGATTTTTTTTGCAATTCACGTGCGGTTTTTCCTCGTGCACTGTTTATAATCTTTCGATTTTTTGCACTTCTCCATCCCGGAACGCGGAAATCCACCTGCTCAACATATATTGCTTGCATCCATTTTCATTCGGAAAGGGCAGACTCCTTTCACCCGGCTTCATTTGATTTACTCGCCCCCCCGGGCGAAGTGGCAGCTATTCGCGACTTCAGTTCTATGGAGAGAGGCTGGGAGCCGGTCGGAAAAGGGAGAGTAATTGTTTTTTAGCTATATAAAAAAAAGTTCACTTATGCGATGTTTTTCGAAATGCATTTTATGGTTTAAAAAATCGGGACCGCGCAATTGTATTCTATTAAGCGATTTTCTAATAAGCGAATTCGACTGTATTTACCACTTCTTGCTCACCAACACATTCGTATTTTTTTAAAATAAGCTTCTGTGCTTTGTTGGAACTTTCCAATTTTTGTCTTGGTGTGCGATTTTTTTTCAGCACTCCTGAGTGTGTAAGAAGATTTTAGTCGCCCATGCATTTATTATGCGATCAAGCTCTTCCTCGTGTAGTTATTGCTGCGAACCATAGGGTTAGAGTTCTCGCTGAGCTGGCAATAATTAAAATGAAAAAAATGTAATTTTTTTTTACTTGAAATTCCCATGGGAAAATTCTCACGTAAATTTCAGTCACCTTGGGCAGTTTGCCCACCAGTTTCCCAATTTGTGCTAAAAATTAAAGATATTGAAGGTATCGCCAGTTTTGGGTGTAACCATTATTTTCCCTCTTGAAACGCAATTACATATGAAGTGCATTGGGAAATTTGCATATTCGAGGTCAACTGAATTCTTAGGTAGCGATAAACAAATTTTGGATAAATATACCAGAACCAAAAGCCTAATCCTCGTTAATCCTGAATTGAGAATTTAAATAAATCATTGCGTTAGGGAAAAATGAGAAATGTCCGTTATGAGAGCCCAGCAAGAAATCCGTGAATCCTTGGTTGATTCTTGGATTGTTGGTGGAGGTACATCCGCTCCGTGTATTTTTTTTAAAATATTTTCTTATACCATCAGAAAGTACAGTAGTATTTTGTGATTTTTTACTTCATCATGGCCGGATGAACTTTAGAATGTCCCTGAAAAAAATATTTGCGTTTATTTAACAAATTTGAAGTTTCAGCCGAGCCTCAACTAAAATAAGGACGACATCGAGTAACTTTCAGCAATCTACACATTTGTCTCTCCTTGCAGATTCGGTCGTCTGAAAGACCCGGCGGCGCGTCGACGCAACGCGCTCGAGGAGTCCCTTCGATTCTACGAGTTCTGCTTCGAGGTCGACCACCAGATGCAGTGGATCAAGGAGCACCTGCCGGCCGCCTGCTCCGACACCATCGGCCAGAGCCTCACGGAGGCGCAGAGCCTCCACAAGAAGCACAAGAAGTTGTCGGAGGAGCTGGCAGGGCACGAGGGATCCATCCAGAAGACGCTGTCGCAAGGGCAGGCGCTGGTGGACCAAAAGCATCCCAACTCCCGTCCCGTGAGTCTTTCGAGAGCTTCCCTCGTCGTCGGGAATGAAGGCCTCGTTGATTGCGCGCGTGTGTTTCTCAGGTGGAGGAGCAGTGCAAGGACCTGAAAGATGCTTGGCAGGATCTCCTCGAGAAGGCAAAGGAAAGGGGGTACCGCCTCGACCTTTCACTCAAGGCCCAACAGTTCTTCGCCGATGCCAACGAGATCGAAAGCTGGCTGACCGAAAAACAGGATGTTCTCCTGTCGAAGGATTATGGACGAAATGAAGAGGCCGCCAAAAAGCTCCTGGCCAAGCATAAGGTTTGTCAGATTCGGTTGCCACTGGCCACGAGGATGTTGCAAATCTGAAACCTTTTGTACCGTTGTAGGCCTTGGAGCTGGAACTGGATTCGTACATCGGCTTGGTGACCGAAATGGGCTCCATCGCCCAGGGAATGGTGAAGTCCAACCACCCCGAGTCCAAAATGATCCAGAATCGCCAGGGCATGATTGCTCAGCAGGTGAAGAACCTGCAGAAAATGGCCAACACCAGACGACAGAAGCTCATGGAGTCCATGTACCGTCACGAGTACTTCAGAGAGAGCGACGAATTGGAGCAGTGGATCAACGAGATGATGCAGACGGCCTCATCCGAGGACTACGGGAAGGACTACGAGCATCTCGTCGTAAGCATCTTTGCCCCTCCCGGAGATTATTTGCCCCTCCCGGAGATTATTTGCCCCTCCCGGAGATTATTTGCCCATCACAGAGATTCTTTGCCCATCACAGAGATTCTTTGCCCATCACAGAGATTCTTTGCCCATCACAGAGATTCTTTGCCCATCACAGAGATTATTTGCCCATCACAGAGATTCTTTGCCCATCACAGAGATTATTTGCCCATCACAGAGAACCAGAATTAATGCCCACCCGGTACGATTACAGGACCTCCAGACCAAGTTCCAGGACTTCAAGCTCCAGGTGGAGGCAGGCTCGAAGCGCTACGAGCAGTTTGAGGACCTGGCCAAGAAACTCATCGGGAGCGGCAGCCCTTACTCCGCCGAGATCGAGAAACGAAAGGAGCACCTCAGGTAACCCACTTCTCTCTCTCTCTCTCGTAGGCTCTCGTAGACTTCTAACCGTGCTCTTCCGCTGCTGTTTCGGAACGAGCCACGTGCGGCCTTGCAAACTGGAGGATGAGGGGATGATTCTTTGGGAACATCTTTCGTTGGCCACTTTCTTGTGGAAATTTTTATTCTTCTTAGATATGTATTCTTCTTATTTATTATTCTTATATGTGTATTCTTCTTATTTATTATTCTTCCTGCGGGGAACAGTCTCTCCCGTTGTACATAAAAATTACCAGGCTTTCATTTGTTATTTCCTTGAGGCTCTGTCGTTCTGGCTCACTCAGTACTCCTTTTTCCCTTGTGATTTCGACTCGATCATGGCTTTGGTTGACTTGTGCCCTTGCTGACTCACACCCTCGAACATGCATGTAGTGAAGAGGACGGCGAGAAAGAAGACGTCGCCGAGCGTTCGGAGAAGCTGCGGTGAGCACTCGTAACGCTTTCTCTCGCTTTCTTCTCGGCTATCCCCCCGCTGATAACCCAGACGGCATCGAGGCGTAAAGACCGAGCCGAAATATTGCCATCCGCTGAGTTTCGGCTTCTCCCGGGAGATCAGGGAGAAATGGGGAGAGCTGCTGGAGCAGATCCAGGCCAGAGACGAGAAGCTGGAGGCAGCCGGAGACATCCACCGCTTCAACCGAGACGTATCGGAGGCCCTCTCCCGCATGCAGGAGAAGGAGCTCGCCATGAACGACGACCTCGGCCGGGATCTCAACTCGGTCCAGAGTCTCATCAAGAAGCACGAAGGGTTCGAGAACGACCTCGTCGCTCTGGAAGCCCAGCTCCAGGTGCTGGTGGACGATGCGGCTCGGCTCCAGGTGGAATACCCGGGAGAGAATGCGGATCACATCAAGGAGCAACAGGAGATGGTGGTTCAAGAATGGACCAAACTTCAGGAAAGGGCCAGCCAGAGAAAAGAAATGCTCCAAGCATCTCTCCAACTGCAGAAGTTCCTGTCTTCCGTAAGTTCCAGCCCTCGGCACGACCCGATCCCGCCTCGCAGGGAAGCCATTAAGTTCCCTCTGGAACTCCAGGTCCGCGACCTGGTGACCTGGGCCTCGGATCTCCGGAGCACGATGATGACCGAGGAGAAAGTCCGAGACGCCGCCTCGGCCCAGACCCTGAAGGCCGAGCACGAGAGCCTCAAGGCCGAAATCGAGGCACGAGAAGACAACTTCAGCAGCGTCGTCGAAGCCGGAGAAACCATGATCTCAGACGGACATTACGCCGCTCAGGTCAGCCTTCCCCCCTTTCCGCGATCGAATCGACCCATCCAACCCCGTACACAAATTTCAATTACAAATTTCAATTTCAATTACAAATTTGGATCCGGCAGGAGGTGAAAAAGAAGCTGGACTCGGTGCTGGAAGAAAGACAGAAACTCCACGCCGCCTGGCACCACAAGAAAGTCTACCTCGATCAACTCATCGACCTTCACTTCTTCCTCCGAGACGCCAAGCAACTCACAACAGCCGCAGCCACCCAAGAGGTAAGATCCCTCTCCCTCTCCCTCCTCCCTCTCCCTCTCCCTCTCCCCCCCC